GTGTCACGTGATGGCCGCCGCTCGCCGCCATGTTGGGAGGGGAAAACGTGGCTAAGGAAGGGGGGGGGTGTGTGTGCAATTAGCACAGGGTACTGGGGGTGCAATTAGCACGGGGTGCAATTAGCAGCGGCTCTGCTGCCAGCTCCAGCCCCACGCCCCGACTGCGGGGGGTGCAAACCCGCCTGGGCCCCATCTCGGAGCGAGGGGACTGGGCCGTACCCTGGGCCCTCCAGCCCCAGGGCAGGGCCGCCCTCCCCGCTCGCCCCCGGGCCAGGCGGGAAAGCTTCGCCATTCCTGCAGCAGCAGGCCGGGCTCCTGGGCCGTTGCTGCAGAGACCTGGGCCCTGTGGGCTCCGGTGCCTTGCCCCGTGCCCGCCGGCAGCCCGGGGGCTGGCACTGCTCCCCACACCCCCCATTCGCTCCGTGTCACCCAAACCCCACGTTCCGGCTCGCTCTGTGCTGGGAAAGAAGCACGAGAAGCAGCTCCCGCCACCCTTCCCGAGGCGCAGCGCACCCAGGGGCCCTGTGGTCACCTTCAGCCCCAGCAGCGGCCGTCCCTGCCTTGGCACTGAGGACACGCGTCCACGCACGCTAAACCCCCAAATCCCGAGTCTCCCCCCTGCTCCTCGGCACTGACACACCTGAAACGGTTCCAGTCACACCCCACCGCCACCACTGCCGCAGCCAAACCCAGTCCAAGCTGCAGCCACGGGGTTTAATCCCACTTAAAAACCGCTTTGACTGCAAAGAAACGCTCACGGAGGGGCGTTTGCGCTGGCCATGGAGAGTCTGGGCAGAGCCGGCACATCGGGGAAGGGCAGAACAACCCGAGCAGCAGATGCAGGTCAGCCCCGAGAAACCCGCACCGAGGAGATAAGTTTAGTACAAGTGTTTATTGTCTTTTCCCCAGAGGGCACGGACTCCAGCTCCTAGAAGGAGTCCTAATGAGGTTAGTTCACATGCGTTTTAAAAACAGCTCTTCTACCAGTACCGTTACATCGAAACATTAAAAGCTGAAAAAAAAAATATAAAAAAAAATGCCCTGGAAGTTTCCAACAGCAATGCTAGTCACACGTAACAGGGACAGATGGCATTAAGAGACCAAAGGGTATGTACACGTTATCTTTAAAAGACACAGTGAGTCACTGCTATCAAGTAAGGACCCCCCCCCGGCTCGCCCGAGGGGGACAGCCTGGCCACCCTGGGGGTCAGCCCGGCTGCAGCACTGTTAGCCAAAGCAGGGAAGAAGGGATGGATAACCACCACCACCAGCAGCAGCACAGGAGGCGGCTGCTAATTGCAATCAGTCTGGGTAAAGCCTTTGCCCTCCCACGGCGCGGGTACAGCCTTCGCGCCGAGGAAGAGCCCCAGAGCAAAGCCAGCCCCGGGTGAGCCGCCGCCGCGGTGCCAAACGTGGTTACGAGAGCTGAACTCGCCCTGGGCGGGGGGACAGGGACCAGAAGGGGGAGTGGGCAGGAAAACACCCATCACCCTGTCTGCACCCTTTGGGCTGGGAGGTCTGGGTGGGATGGAGCAGGGGCTTTCCCTGCCCTTGGTGAGCGAGGTGCTGCCATGGGGAAGGGGCCTTTGCTTGCATCTTCCCGAGGTTCCTGGAGCAGCCACAAAGGGCCCAGTTCAGCTCCTGCTGGTTCCCCCTGGCCCCCCGGTCCTGAGGGCTGCTTAGCCCGAAGCCCTGGCAATGCTGGGCACGCCAGGCAGGGCTGCAGGACCACGTCCTCCCTCTCCCTGGGACCGTATCCTGCTCCAGGGAAGCCTGAGTGGTCCCTAACCCTCTCCCAGGGGATTCGCGGTGACCCCAGGGCTGTCCTGCAGATGAGGGGAGCCTGTCCCAGCCCACGCTGCCGGCCCAGCGACCCTGGGGAGCTGAATCGCCAAAAAAGAGCCAACGAACCAGCCAAAAACCAACATGCACTGCAGTAAAACCACGCCTGAACAGAGGCAGCGAGGCGAACCGCACCTCTGCCCTGCAGAGAACTCGTAAAACCCAGGAACAAAGCAAAGGAAAACCAGCAAGGCCAAAACATCCCTAATTCTACAGCCTCCAAACCCAGGGCCAGGGCAGCTCCAGCTGAACGGGGGGGGGACGACAGCGAGGAGGGGGGCACCGAGAGCCAGCTCTGCCCGTGCGGAGCAGGCAGGTGGCCAAGGGAAGCAGCCGGTGTCCCTGCTGGCAGGTGGCAAAGCCACCCGTAGGCACCGGGAAGGGGCTGGCATCACTAGTGGTTGGTACTGCATTGCTACGGGAGCGAAGAAGCCGCGGCCCCGGACCCCTCCGCGAGGGGCTGGTGCTGGGGGGCGGCCTGTGGTCCCAGGCTTTGCGCTCCAGGCAGAGGGAGCTGGAGGAGTCTCCCTTCCGTGGCATGAAACATCCCCGAGCTGGTGCAGACAGGGAGGGAAAGGAGAAGCCAATGTGGAGGCGTGAAGCGTCTCCGGTCTTCCCGGCACACCAGGAGCCCGGCGGCGGCACTGGGCGGTGTTGGGTCCCGGAGCCGCTCTCAGCCGTAAGGCAGGAAGACTTGAGACCGAGGAGAAGCTGCCGAGGGGGAGAGGAGGGGGGCACGGGGCTCATCCTCCGGCCGCTGCTGCCACTGGGCTTCCCGCCGCGTCTCCTCCAGGTGTCTTTGGTTTCCATTACAGAAACGCCGGCGGCATGTTCTCCTCCCGCGAGCTCTCGGGGTGAGCGCGTTAGGCCGGGAACTCGGTGTTGTGGTGCCTGACGTGCTCATCGGTGACGGACAGGTAAGTGGCTCGCATGCTCGGGGAGTACTGTGGGGAGAGAAGACAGGGGTCAGCGCACCCCCAAACCACGGCACATCCCACCGAGCCCCCGCCAGCCACGTCCGACCCAACCCCTCCACCACCACGTGTCGCTGAGCTGCCAGAGAAAGCTCAAGGATGGAGAGGGGAGATTCACAGAATCATCTCGGTTGGAAAAGCCCCTGCAGCTCCTCCAGCCCAACCATGACCCTCACCCTGACCCTTCCCAACTCCCCCAGACCCCTCAGCGCTGGCTCAGCCCGACTCTTCAACCCCCCCAGGGATCCCGGGGACTCCCCCCTGCCCTGGGCAGCCCATTCCAACGCCCAACAGCCCCTTCTGCACAGAAATCCTTCCTCAGAGCCAGCCTGACCCTGCCCTGGGCAGCTTGAGGCCATTCCCTCGGGGCCTGGCGCTGGGGCCTTGGCTCCAGAGACTCATCCCCCCTCTCTGCCCCCTCCTGGCAGGGAGTTGCAGAGGGCCAGGAGGTCTCCCCTCAGCCTCCTCTTCCCCAGACTGAACCCCCCCAGTTCCCCCAGCCGCTCCTTGTATGTGATTCCTTCCCTTTTGTGTCAACCCGCAATTAATCTGCCCGGCTGCCACAGGTAAGGGGGCCCGATCCTGGTCACAGCCTCTTCAAGGGCTGGAAGAGAAGAGACCACCCAGCCAAGATGCTTCAAGTGGCCTCAGGCTCTGCTCTGCGCCCTCCTGCACTGCCAGGTTCATCCTCCACCTTCCTGACTCCAGCCAGGCAGCAAATTCAGGCCCAAGCACCGAGTCTGGATGCATCCGATGCCAAGGGGCTCAACCACAGGCTTGAGCTCCCCGCCCTCCGCTGGCACGGGGAGCAGGACGGGGTTTAGCGGGAGAATCCGGGCTCAGGGGCAGCCGAGCTGGATTTGACCCCTGCTCTTCCCTGTCCACGCACAGACCGTACCCCAGGCTCACCGGGTGCCTGCGCTGGCAACCGCTGCGGGCTGAACCCCCCGGGGCTCCCTGGTTGGGGCTTGGGGCCCCCAACACACCGGGTAGGGGGCAGCGACGAGCCCAGGACAGAGGCAAAACCTCCAGCCCCCCAGTGCTGCAGAATTAAATTTCTCTAGCCGTTTTGCTGGAGGGAGGGACACCCCAGCCAAGCATTGAGGAAGATTATTGACTGTGAAAGTCCTTCCTCGGGGATCTGAATCCTGGTGAAATTAGACCATTCAGGGCAGGGAGAAGTGCTGAAATGAATCCCCCCCCCCCCCCCCTCTCGCTCATCCCCGCTCTGGGGTTCGCCAGCTGCCAGGTCTGTGCAGTCGGATTACAGCCCCCACGCGCCGGCGTGGCTCCGCGCTTTCACCTGATGGCAAAAAAATCCCTCCCTGGTTTAGGCCAGCACATGATGTCCCTGCCCCGGCAGCATGCCCGGAGCCACGTCCCCGACCCCACCACCGTGCCACCGTTGTGCCCACGGGGGGCAGCCGGGGGGGTATTACTACTTCAGAAAGAGGCATCGAAGCAGATTAAACGCTGTCAGAAAAGGAGGGGGAAAAACTGCACCGAGAAGGGGCGGGAGATGGGGACTATTTCCACTCCCAACACACGAGAACTGCAAATATTTCTCTTGTCCCTGGGATAAAATGCGTCCCCGTCCCTCCCGAGCCCTTCACGCTCTCCCCAGAATCAAACCAGCCCCATGGGAAAGGGGATGGGGGGAGGCACCAAGGAGAGGGAAGGAGGACAGGAACCCAGCTGCTGCCCCGGGATGAGGAGGGAGAAGGAAGCGGCTGAACTTACTCTTGATGGGCAACTTAGCTCCAAAATAATTGATGCAAAAAAAAAAAAAAAAAAAAAAAAAAAAAAAAAAA